TGGGCATAATATATATGACAAAGCCAGAGAGTTGTAGAGAAATTTTTACACAAAATTATTCTCTTCTCCTTTAAACTGTAAATCTCTTCTAATACCACTCTCTGTTTCCTTTTTTCCCATGCCTTTATTCTCTCTCCATGCGCATTCTCTATTTAATGTTTTGGTTGTATGCTCCCTTTCTCTCCATTTCAATCCACCATAGCAGTAACGATTACCTTGAATGGTAACCCACTCCTTGCAGCAATAAGTAATGTCAGCTTTAGTAGCTGTGATCTGATTTTTCTCTCCCCTTTACACTTAAGAATCGAGATTACAGTAAGTCTAAAGGTAGGCTGCTCAACAAAAACTAAGCCTAAGCCCCAGTGGTGAGGCTCCATGTCCTTAATTTAAGTCCCCTGTGGAGGAGGGACGGGAAGCAGCATGGTCAGCAGAATCTCTTAGAAGTGACTGGGAAGGTCAAAAATATCAAATTTATTGCTTCCAGAAGCAGCGCAGCTCGCCCCCTGTGAGGATAATACAGCCAAAATATGAAAAGGCACTGGCAGTACATTTCTTTTTTTTTTTTTTAACCATTTTCTTTTATGACTCATTTTGGACATTTTGCAATTTGTTAATTTGGTTTTGACAAATGAGTGAAGATTACGCAATCATTTAGAGCTCTCCTTGTGTGGGAGTCAAAGTGGTACATGTAGTTAGAAGTAGGAACAATTTTCAAAGGGAAAATTATACTGCTAATGATGCATTTTAGAAAAACAGTTTAAAAAGTCATGGACCATACCATGGGTTTTTTGCACAAACTTTTAATGAACACTTAAAGCCTAATGAAAGACATAGAATTTGTCAGTGTTTCCTGTTGTTTTTACCAGTGTTTGAAATCACCCTAGCATACTGCCCTGTTTTCAGCTCTTTCTGTCATAGATACACGTGTAGACAGAGAGCTCAGGGTCACCTTCATTTTAAGAAGTGAAAAATTTATTCCTAGATTACTGCTTTTCTCCTTTACAATGGTGTTTTTAACAAGAATCAGGAAAAGCAAGGAAAAAGAAAGTTCCTTGGATATAAAGACACAAAAATGATTAATCTCTACCCGACTTTCTATCCATTTCTTTGAGTGGCTATTAGGTCTAGGGAGAAAACTAGTGACTGTTTTGCACTTAGGAAAAAAAAAAAAATAAAATCCAGCTTTCAACTATATTTCTATTGTGCACTGTTGCCACATGGCTGATTTGGATTTACTGCCTGTGCACCACTGTCCTACCCATTCCTGTGCAGACTGAAAAAAACACGGCCTTTCTGTCTGTCCAAGGTTATCGTAATGCCATGTCTTATTCACCCTGGGGAGCATGGAGCTGGAAAGCATCCTGACTGTTGTCTTCACATCAAACTACTGTAGGAGAGCCTCTCTACATGAGTGCATGCCCTTTTGTTCAGTTTCACTGTAGTGTGGGAGATACTATCACAGTTGCTTCTTCTGTTGCTGCAAAGATACTTTATTTCCTTTATCATCTGAGAATCCCAATCACCCAACAATCACACAAATAACAGAAAGGCATGCCATTGTAAAAGAAATCAGATTCTTAATTTACCTAGGATGAATGTCACCCATGAGCTATGGAAACAATATTTTGTTATTGGTACGGTTTTTTAATAGTGAGATTTATAATAGTTAACATTTTAGGTATTTTTTTCCTCTTAAATTTGTAAAACAAATAAATACACCAGTAGAGGACAAATAACAAGCTCAGTGGTTATTTTCTATTTAAAAAAAATAAAATTGATAGAATAGTTTGCATATTTATTTTAAGATATTTTAAATGCATTCACTGAATAATGAAGCTTATAAGAAATTAAAAATTATTAAAAATTTTATAGTCCAAAAACTTTTACTGCTCATTCTAGCAAGTCAGACTAAAATCAGTATTTGCCTGTGTTTTCCTTCTCATATAAATTTTGTTTTAACAAAACAAATAATCTTCTTCTTTGGTAGGAACTTCCCCTTTTATATCATTCCAGTTACATGCGAAGGAGCCTAATAAAGAGATAGCTAAATTCTTTCCATTGTCTATTCTTTTGTGATTTGGGAAAAAATGAGGATATGAGGGGCAACTGAAAACCTGCTGAAGAGGTAAAAGTGGGTAGGATTTGAGGGAGAGGATTTTACTTTCACTTACTGCTGTAGTGTTTGGGATAAGAAAACCGAGTACACATAAAACGATGGGGATTTTTTGAGTAATTCTGAAAAAAATATACATAGAAATAGGTTATTGTGCTAGAATGAAGATCTCTCAGTGGTGAAGAATGACGTATTCAAGCTCCCAAAATACCATAAAGCACAGAAAACAAAATATCTTGCCTCAAGGAACATCCCTCTAATGCCAGAGTCCATTCTTCACTGTGTTTTACATGATGCTGGAAGCTGAGCTTCCTCACAGGTCTCACAAACAAGGAGGTATACATGTGATTAAAAGGCACCTTTACTTCTCAGATCAAGTCATGCATTAAATGAACTTGATTAAGACAAAGGACAAGTTTTTTTAATATAAATTACTCTCAGTGCTTTAACATATCATTATTTGAAACACTGGAAGAGCTGGTTACTCCTTGGAAAGGTCAACTGCCCTTAAAGATTAAAATTTTCCCCAAACTAAAGGAAAATTTATAATTTCAACCAATTTTTTTTTAGGTAAGTAGGCTAAGCTTAATTGTGGTTAATCGACTGTAATCAGGCAAGACATACAATATATGCTTTTACCTTGGCTCTCCTGAAACTTTTCCTGGTCCTGACCTGTATAAGAGCATACAAGAGACCAAATAATACTTTCGAATTCAAACAACATAATCCGAAGGTCAGTTAGAAGTTTCAGAGGAGACCCCCATATTACACAGAGAGTTTGTATTAAATTCTAGTCTCAGTATGGACTGTACTGAATCAACACAATGTTTATGGTGGACTTTTTTCACTACACCTTCTATTTATCTTTTACTGTCATGAGGTTTTCCTAGACTGGACTAGACCAAGATTGAATAAAATGGACAAGAGTAAATTTTTCACTCTATTAGCTACTGTGTTTTAGTCACTTGAGACTTAGCAGGACCTACATTACTGATAGTTCTATAAAACTGTTGCTTTTGTAGAGAAATTACAATTCTTTTTGACATTATGCAGCTAGCTGCTGTCTGGCTACTGTGGATATTGCTGAAATTGTAGCATGGCATCAAGGAGCTCAGTGCAAAAAAAACACACCCAAATGCTTACTTGTATTTTGACAGAGTTCTGTGCAAGGCTATGCTGTTAGCAGAACTAACGCTACCCAATTCAAACATAGACAAGATTTGTTTACATTGATGGCATCCCTGCAAGACTTTTTACATGACTCTGTCAAGCGGGTTGTATATTGGTGCAGTTTAAACATAGACAGTTTAGCTTATTCTGGCAAGGTACAAAGGAACTTGAGTAGTGTAATAAGCTTTTACAGTAGATGAGATGCAGCACTGCAATTTTAACTTTACTGATGCTGATGTAGAAATAAACTTACTTTTTTTTAAATTGGATATTCTAAATATAGGTATTGCATTCAAATGCAGTGTATGTTGTTTTCAAAAACATTTTTGAAATAGAATGCTGGTATACTGTATGTGAGGACAACAAAAAGAAAAACAAATTAAAGCTGTTTCCATATGGCAAATGTAGACCGAAGTAAGGAAATCAATCACACTAACAAAAAAATCTATCAAACAAAAATATACAGAAAACCTAAAAATTTCTTATCAGGTATCCTACATCTTCCTCTCACCGTTAGAAGATTCCACCCTTAATTACTCTTGAAATGGGTTCTGATATGTTTCCTATTGTATGTATCACATTTATTTATGGTTATATAGTAGCATCAGATAAAAATGCTAAGACCAAATGAAAGTACAGAAAAGATTTCAAACTGATTGTGTTAATTACATGCTGTAAAAGCTTTAGCTTTCCAAGAAAAAGCAATTTCCAACTTCCAAAACCTTGCTATTATTTTTATAAAATGAAAAATACAAAGAAAATGAAATAAGAAATCTGAAAGTTCCAGTATACTACTTTTGATTAACATTACCTACAATTATAAGACAGTTCATTAAATAGAAAAAAGAGTTTTTTTTACATAAAGCAAGACAGTACAAAAGCACAGCTTTTGTAATTTTGGTAATATTGCAGTTTTACAAACATATTGCATAGTATGTGTAAGAAAATAGTTCCCATCTTTTTTGTATATCTATATACACAAGAAAATCATTAACATGGAGGTTACAAAACAAAAACAGTTAGCAGACCTTTACTGAGTACTGATTGAAACAATATAACACTCAATCTCTGATTGAACTTACATGTGCATTACAGTGAATCAACTGATAACAATTAATAATGTTTATGGTGTTTTGTGTTTTTTAGATTTTTTTTTTACTTTTTATTTTTATTTAGACGATTTAGAATCCAAACCAAAAATCCCCGAACATAAAAAAGCCCCCATGGTGTTAGCCACTGAATATCTTAGAACATCCTTCATTACATCCTTCTAGATATTTATGGCTGTATCTTCAGTCCGGACCTACTAGCCCTCTGCATCTAGAATGGTTTGAAGTGAATTCTGTTATCCAGTCAAGCCACTGTTTTGCAAGAGAAACAGTATAACTTCAATTGAAACAAGCAATATCTTGGCTTGTTTTGGAATACATACTCTTTCATTTCCTTAGGAACACTGAAGATACTTGTATGCATGAAAAGTAATGTAATTGCACCACCTGAAAAAAATTAAAATCCTGGAAAAAAGTGAACAATCTACAGCTCAAAATGCTGCACAAATCTAAACTATGTTACAATTTCATGTTGTAATTACAACTTGTCATTTCTTCATTCCAACAGAATTAGTAGAAGCAACAGTGTTATAGTGTTAGAAGTGTCAGTCTTTGGTCTTATCATTTAATGAATGAACTGCAATACAAAACCATACAGCTAACAGTGCTCAGAGGTTGGCTGATGCTTTTATTTTTTTATTTTTTTATTTTTTTTTTAACAAGAAAGAGACAGTATCCTATAATATTATGACACAGATGTTTTTACAGAAGATAAATCTACTGTATCAAATACATGTAGCTAATAAGGTCTTTCCATATATTTCACTGTTGTTATAAGGACAGCGCTGAAGAAGTTAAACAGCTGCAATACCATCTTAGAGGTTTCCATACAAACATTCTAGTACAAAAAGGAGCTTTATTTGATACTGTATTCATATACTATAAAAAACCTCAGAGGAATATTTTAGATGCCTTTTCTTTTTTTTAATCGCACTAACATTAGTGCTTAAGAATATCCTAAGATCTTGATTTTTTTCCCTACAATTGTCACAACAGAGTGATTTCTTAGTGGGAAACTCCTGCCTTAACCAGAATAAGTGACATCTCTTTTCTAAAATACACAATCAAAATATTCATTCAGATAAACACTCTACCTAGAGAAGCATTCATTGGGGCTTAATCATAACCTGTCAAATATAAATAGCCAACAAAGGCTGAAGTAATTTGGAGACAGGGCCAAGAATGTATGATGAAGGTGACAAAAAGAATCTGAAAATATCTTGTGGCTTTGTAAAAAAATTACCTCGTCATTATAAAACGATCACTGAAATAGCACAGCTAATGGCTCCATTTTTAAATATATTTACATTAAGATCTTCTAGTTTCCTTCCATCTGAAATGAGATTGTAGAATTATGTCATATTTTGTCATATTTTGGGGGCATACTGTAAGTAGAACTTGGCTATTGAGGTTTTCACTATTGCCAGCTCCAAACATTCAAAACCACTGGGTCTGTTTCTCCTTCCACTCAGGAATGATGCTGCTTACAGATTATTAGCGCTTCAATTTTTTTAGTTCTCTAAATGCATTGAAATAACTTTTCCAATACTCTCTGAAATCATGTGGGCTAGAAATATTCTTTAAAATAAAACCTGAGATTTTCCCTTTCTTACAGTTTGCAGTGGATTTAAAGTAAAACATCAATATTATGATATTCATCAGAATATTAAGACATTATGAGAACTCATTATGCTATTTCATGGGTTGCTGAAGCTCTCAAATACTCTCTACCTTAGAATGAAGGGACTCCAAGCAAGAAAATCCTGATGGTGCAGAGCTATGTGGGATTTACTGGCTTGGTTTTGTTGAGTCCACTGTGCCACCTGCACCTTTGCCCTTACTTTTCTTCATGCAAAGTGGTAAATTATTCCAGCCTTTCTTTTAAAATTAATCTAGTAACAAAAGATATTTTCTCCTACCTGCCTAAGTTTGTGTAAAATTTGTAAAGGTTGGGTCTTTTAATTCAGAGGGCAAAAACCTTTTTCATATGTATTACAGGTGAGTAATCGCACAAGGTAAGGAGCAAACAAATAAGAAACTCTCAGTGGAAAATTGACAAAGTATCAGCAAGCCATCCTGTGGGTTTATTTGAGGAGAGAAACACATCCTAGTCTACTGTGTGCAATTTGTAAGAAGCCATAATTTATTCACCAAATATATTAGTCACTATAATCTGCTAATCATTTAGGCTGCCGGTGTATGCTGGTGTGCACAGAAACGAATACATATAGATGTGTCCTCATATAGATCTATATACTTTCCTCCTGAATACTATTTGTCCACATATTCTATTCTTTGTGTGCATTAGAAAAAGACATCTGTTTCCCTACAGTTTTAAGGGCGTATTGTACAGCTACACTTTCTAATGTTTTATTATCAACTTCTTTGTCATATGTATCTCTTTCTGTCCCTCCTACTAAAAATCTTCAGGATTTTAATATATTTTCTAATATATTTTCTTTCCAAGTAGAATAAAATTCTCAATGAAATAACAAATCAGCTGTTAACAGCCTTATTTTAAAGAGATAAAATAACAAATTAGAAATCTTCATTTAACTGGTAGAAACAGCAAGTGCAGAATTCTTGCTATGGGGGAAATTCACACCTCTGAAGAGGGCCAATGGAAAGGGAAGCACCAGTCAAGCCATGGACATGTCTTGTGCTGGACCTCTGCATAGGAGTGAATTTCACCTGAAGTGAAACCAAAATCAACCTTATTAGGTGGTAATGAAATGCAAAGGTAATCACAGTATTAGTTTGCTCATTTTCGTATTTTTCTCTAAGACAAACAACCAAAAAAACCCATGTGTAGAAATACCCACCTTACACTGTCTGCCCTGACTTTAGAGTTACCTTGCAAAAGTCATCATTGCGTTGGTGGTCTTACAATCTGAGGCCTCTAAAGTTTCATGATAGGTGATATAATTTGAAGGACAGAATTAGAAAGCACACTTACCTCATGTAATCAAGCCATCTTCCACAATAGCAAACATTTTTATACTGTTTTACATTCCTGGGTTCTGCAAGTTTCAAGATACTCTTGTTAATCAATGTTATGATAAATTTCCTAGCAGCATACCAAAGCATTTTTTATAAAATTTCAATTACCAACTAAGCCAAACAAGTATGAACATCGATACAAGAAAGAAATCCCATATGCCAAAGAAGAAAGCCAGTAGTGAGATCTGAGTGCAAGTGGGGCTGCATAATTTAAACACAGACCTGATAAAGTTAATGCAATATCAATGTACTTTTTAATACTGAATGTCATTTAATGCGTGTTTTTATATATATTACTGTTTCTTTGAAAACCTTAGCAGCAGATGGTAAACAAAAGAGAATAATAAATGCGAATGTCATACCAGTTGTTAGTGTACTGCTTCTCAGCATTACACATCACATTAATACTGAGGTTTGTACTGTGTTCAAATGGCAGCAGTTAGGTGTAGCTAGAAAATAGACAAGATGTTCCTTTGAATATTTTTCTCTTGGTTTTGCATTTGCCAATTATAAATACCTTGTGAAGAATAATACACTGTTCAACAAACATACCATCAGTATTTCTGTCTTTGCCCTGTTGTTCTTTTCCAGAACCTGTATGCTCTACTTAAAGCAATCACTTCACATGCAGTAGCCAACACAAATACTATATAAGGCCATTCAGATCTGACAAAAAAGAGCAGATGCCTTTTTAACTTTGAAAGGTAATATTGCTGAACACTTCCCAAATTTACCTAGTGACGAAACCCTAGACAAAGAATAAGAACACACTTTTAAAGAAAGCAAACTCAGGGAGGGATTCTGTCTCTTTTTGTGTTAAAAACCATTTACTGAATTTAATTGTTTAGTAAAGCAAGCATCACACAATGCTTTAAAATTTTAAAATTCAGGGATAAAAGTTTACATCCAAAAAGATGAATGGAAAATTGTGCTTTCAGACAGTAAAGTTATCATACAGGGGGAACCAATTCATCTCACCATCAGATTCTGGGCAAATTTGTTTATGTAGTGTATATATATATATATATATATATGTGCAGTTCATATCCAGGTCCTGCAAAAATCTAAAACTATTATGTGCTTCACTTCATGTAGCAAAGGCACCTGTGTTATTCTCCCTTTTGGAAAAAAGGTGATATTATGTCCCAGGTTTCCTGATGAGGAATACATTGATTTCTGAATATCTCACTCCCATCTCTATGTTGAGTGGCAACACAAACCACAAGAGAAGGCAGCGCTGCATTCCTGCTTACACTGGAAGAAGTTGCTCTGCAGGCCGTTTGAAGCGTCAAACTTGTCACAAGGGAAACCGAGCAGAACTGTGAAGCAGAGGGATAGTAACAAAAGGCTATTCTGGTGTGAGGATAAATTGGAGTCATTCTAGCTCCACAAGCAGATGTTGCTACTGGATTGACATGTGGAGCTTGCTCCTGCTGGGGACAGGTAAAGTTTACCATTGGGACAGACGCACAGCTCATAGATAGTCTGGCGAGGAGCTGAAGAGCTGGGTGAGGAGGAGGAGGAAGAAAACGACCCCACTGGTAGATTTCCCAGGCGAATTGTATCTGCGTTTAAAAATATCTACAAGAGGAGGGAAAAAGTAAGAAAGTACATTTTTATTTTTTTTAGCACTATGGCATTTTAAAGTCCCATAGAAATATTTTACTAGAAGCATTAGAAAGATTATTACAAATATTAGCAAAAATATTTTTAGAAATAAACAGCTGTCAACATTTCTGATTTTTCAGCTCTGTGCAGTTGTATACCCACTACTACGCATTACTAAAGTACATGCAATTGCTTCACCCAATAATTTATTCAGATACAAGAAGCATCATACAAAAACGTTATGACAATATTCTTCATAGAATCATAGAATGGTCTGGATTAGAAGAGGCATTAAAGATCATCTAGTTCCAAACCCATGGACAGGCACACTTTCCATTAGACCTGGTTGCTCAAAGCCCCATCCAGGGATGGGACTGCCACAACTTTTTCTGAGCAATCTGTTCCAGTATCTCACCACCCCCATGATGAGTATTTTTTTCCTAATATCTAATCTAAATCTACCCTCTTTCAATCTGAAGCTGTTACGCCTTGTGCTGTCACTACACACTCTTGTAAAAACATCCCCCTCTTGCTCAGGTTGAATTTTCATTTGTACATTTTAAGATTACAATTTATTCATTCATGGCAATAGCATATCCTTGCTCTAGAAGAATTTGTATTTTAGTAAGTGTGAAGTGATATGAAAGCACATTCCCCAGTGTGCTCCTGTAAGCAGCTGGAAATATATGCTGAACTGCGCTAAAGTGTAGGGGTTTAACAACAGCCACACCCAGAGAATAATTAAGTAAGGGTACAGAGTCATATGCACAAAATAAAGAGCTCATTTTACCTAAATTAAGAGGAGAAAATATTTCAGGTTGAAGTCTTATTAAGAAGGGCACCAATCTATTCACATTTGTTTCTGAACATTGAATATGATTAAAAATATTGGGTGGGTTTTTTTTAATCTCCTTCCTTTGGAAATAAGTCAATATGAAACTGTACATACTGGTAATGTTCACGAATCTGTATTGAGTTCTGCAATATTTACACTATGCTACATTTTTGAGGTGTTAAATAAACAATGCTATGAAATTTGTAACTAAATCAGGAAACCTTCATGTCTTTCGCTGGCACAAACCCATGAGTCTCCAGCTGCTTAGAATTTATTTTTTATTTATGGAAGGAGTAAACAAGAGACAAAGTAAGACATTTATTACCTCAGGTGCAGACTAGAAACTTCTAGCAGACAGGTAACAAATCAAAATGGCTTTAAGCCCTGCAGATAACCGTGTGAAGCTTAGGAAAAGGTGAGTTCCTTAAATACTTGCTAGTATTATTTCATAAGGTATTGAAAATCAAGAAAGCCAGCTTGACACCATTTTATCACAGTGTTGGCAGCACATGTAAAGAACCTGTGGAGATGTGGCAAGTACTGCATTTTTCTACACGAGACAAGTATTATTTTATGATAAAATCATCAGTGTGTGGCAGAAAAGCAGCACAGAAGCACAACTCAGCTCCTGCTGGATAGAACTAAAAGAGCAGGCTGGGAAAAAAATTAAAGCTGCTGAAAAAACTCCCGTACAAGGATTGATGCACTGTCATGTTACCATTCACAGCATAAGCATTGTACATGACCAGGATCATCAAAGGAGATACAGGCTTAAAGCAGTTCCAAACAATACAACACCCCCCATCACTGTGAGTTCTCCAGCTCCAGAGTAAAACACTGTAATAGGTGGAAATTTACACTAAAGGGACGCAAAGGGAAAATCTCAGAGGCACAGGTGACAGCTTCATGGTACACTGCCAGTTTAATTCACATCCTGACTGATAGAGAAATTTATTACAAAACTGAAATACAGCAAATTATCTTTTTTTTCTGTAATTTATATGACAAAGGAAAGATTCATTTACACATGCATACACACATTGCTGCTTTATAACTCCAGTATCATAGACCTGAAATAATTAGGAGTCAAAACCTCTTTAGGAATAATTTAGATGGAAGAAATGCAGATGGTGTTGGGAACAATTTAATAATATTCTGCTAGAATATTAACCGAAATAGAAGATTATGCATGTAAAATATTCAGTTCAGCTGGAATAAATGTGGAAGTAACTATAGCAAGCATAACAAGAAAATAAAATAAGATGTGGGGAAAAAAAGAATTTTATAGCAAACTAGAAGCTAGAAATTGGTAAAATGGAAGGAAACAGGACAAAATTGTCAAATCAGTGCAGTGATGAGTAATAAAAAGTGTTCTTTCACTTCTCAGATCAAGAATAAAAGAAATGTTAACAAGTCCACTATTAATGTAGCAATGGTGGAGTTATCAATAACTTTGCATAAAATCCAGTGGCATTCAAATGTGTAAGTTCTATGTAAGTCTATCTTTTTTAATGAATAGTTGCCGGCATAGTTCTGTACTTGGAGAAAGATCAAGTGTTGATGTCAGAACATGACTGTGATAAAATATTTTCAATTTTGACAGTTACTCATCAGGATATTTAATAGGAGCCAGTAATGTCATATACTTTTAATCAGCAGCTCCTAATAACTTTTAACAAATAGATCTAAAAAAAATTCCGAATAGCCTTTGGGACTTTCAATACTGATTTTAAAGTCCTGATATAGCATCCAAGAAGAAAAGACTACATTTATACTTTTGTTTAAAAAAATGGAAGCAGTAGATATTAGAATATTATATATGTGACAATAAAAGGCTCTTCAGTGTACACTATCTACATGTAAGAAAATCCAAAAATGACATAAGATTACTTGTAGTTTTGACAGAGTGTGTGAAGGGCCATTTTAACAGCTTAGCTACAGAGGTGATTGGGAAGGATCATGAGAAATCTGTAAATCAAAAATTGAATGAGTTCTACAAGACATGTCTTGATTCAAGCAAGAATTAGCTCAAAAAATAAGAGGGAATATGTGTCAGAGATCAGTCTAGATTAAAATCTCTTTATTATCTTTTCTTTTTAGGAGCTCAATATTTTTACGGTTGTTTACATCAGGACACCTGCACTTCTGCAGCCCCTCATTGCAGATGTTCTGTAGTGTAGTGCTCTAACACTCTAATCCAGTGACCTTACTCCAGAGTGCATTACAATACAATGTAGCTCAGTTATTTTGCTCATTAAATTAAATGATCTTTATAAGCGCAGCTGTGCATGGTTTGCAACTGGTGCTTTCAAATGTCATGCTGTGATGTAACTCAATCCAGGTTTTTCTGGTGTCATCATCCTGAACGGTTGCTAAAAGGTCCTGTCCCAGCATACATCTCGGAATATCTGGTGGGCAGTGTGTATACCAGGGTATAGTGTCCTGAGAAAAATTTAAGTGGTTTCTTGTGAAGGTGTATTTGCTGTGATAAGTCTAACAAGCTCTATGTATGCCTTTGCAGAATTGGGAAGGCTGAGCAAATTAAATAGACTCCTATAAATCCCTGGGGAAGCCTGAGATGAAGAGGATTGATAAAGATAGCTTAAAGACAGCATTAAAATCTACTCTGTACATAGGCTGTCAAGGCTATAAATAAAGACTAAATTTAGAGATGCAACATTGCTATCTATTACTTAAGCAGGTGTCTAACACATTATCAAGATAGCCTTAATATGTAAGGAATTTCAGAGGAACATAGTCAATGTTTGAAAGTATACCTTCTCCCCTCCTACAATCTGCTAAACCTGAAATTCATGCCTGGAAAGTCATGTTTAAAGAGAAAGGAAGAAATGACAAGACAAAAACTGAACAGTATTATGTTCCCAGGGAACACTGTTGCTAGATGACAGGAGTTACTGGAAGTTCCTATTACACCCAGTCTTTCTCTCACCTTTTGTGTGGTGAAAGGTTCAAGATAAGCCATTATCATATTCATCAAGGCCATGAGACAGTCATGCACTTTCTGAAAATCTCATACCTCAGAAGATAAATAGGCAAGAATAAACCCACAACTTTTATCCATTCTTGAGACATTGTAGGAGACTGACTGACAGCTTACAAAATGGATAAGGCAGCATTTCTACTCAGAAATGCTATTTGAGAGCAGAGCACTGAGCAGCATCATTCCCTCAAAATACTTAGGGTTTAGATCAGTACTTTGCCTTGTGCATCTTAGTGCTGAGAAAAATAAATTAGTACTATAATAGTTGAAAGTAGAAATGATTTCTGACTAACTAAAGTAGCAAACTGATTCAACTTGTAGGGCATGTGATAGGAATAAAAAGAATTTACGTTTTACACACATTTTTGCTAACAGAGATCTGCAAGTCATCTGTTCAACAGACTGTGTTAACATGCACAGTGAGAGGAAGATAAACCAAAATATAGATTATCTACAAACCAACAACTTTCAGTGAGAAAGATATAGTCATGGGGTAAAAGATTAAATATTCCTACAAGCCATTTCATACAAAGATACAAACCTGCCATATATAAAAGTTCTCCACTAGGTCCTTGACTAAGTCTTCTCAAGAGAGGAGATAACAGGCTAAGCTAATAAAGCCAAACAGAAAAGTTAGGAGTTATAAATATTGAAGAATTTTCTGTATTATGTACAGTTTGATTAGACAGGTAATTCTACAGAGCTGCAAAGGCATCCTTCAGGGCTGCTGTAGTTAAGAAATGGCAGAAAACTCGAAAAAAATGTCAAAGAAAAGAAGGACAGTTAAAAGGTTGGTGAGAAGACAGTGCAATGACATCTCACTAAATAAACCTTTTGAATTTCCTTATGGTCTTCTGAAGTAACCTGAATTATAACAACACAAGATTTTGGCCAGTCTTTTTGCTCTTTTGCAGATGCTATCAGAAGCATACATACAAAAAGGATTATATAGATTTGGTCATTAGACTCAACTATGTAATTTTCATATGCAGAAATTTTTTGACTCTTCTGTCCCAAAGTGGTGTTCATGAAAGTCATGATTCATTTTAAGTACACATTTTTTGAAATTCATGTTAAATAAGTATAAGCATATATTGTAAATTCTGAGTTATAACCCCAGTGCAATTTAGATTGGTG